GTTTATACCTAAGGTTCCTTTTTGGTACTCACCAACAAGGATCAACCGTAATTATTTTCAGTCAGAAAGTGTCCTGAGTTTCCAGAAAATTGTAACTTATTACATTTTAAAAATTGAGGGTAAATTAAACGTTTCGGTTCTGGTTTTGGAGCGAATCCAAGTTCTTGCAGTGACTAATACTTCAAAGGAAGGAAGGTGGGAAGATTTTCATACTACTAATAGCCTTCTTTGAATTCAGCGTGAAAAATACTGGGTAATTTCTATAGTTTCGGCCATTTAGGGGAACCAAACAAATTTTTAAAAACTCTTCTATCTCATCATTTCAGTAAACTATGATATTATTATTTGAATAGAAGTTAAATGTCAAGAAAAAAATACCGCAAATTATTATTTTTGGGATAGCATTACATTGACCAAGGAATACTCTCAAAGTGTAAAGTTTCCCGAACAAAGCTCGGTCCCCAGCTACTTGTCAAACAACGCAATAATGTACGTTATTTCATAAAATTTGTACCTGAGAAATGTACAAATGGAAAATGCATTTCTCGTAAGTGTAAGCAAATCTTAAAATGATAGGATTTGTAATGATACGATCTTAAAACGAGCAATTCAGTATTCTTATTCAAAACACCAAACACCCGCCACTGGATCAAAATATGCCCGCGCGGCGCAACCCGGCACGGTGGGAAGCCCCTCTCGTACAATTTAAATTACGTACATAAGCCAAAAATTAAAAAATATGATTTAGAACATTTTACTTTTTGTATACAGAATCCACTGTTTTTAAACTTACCTGACCAAAAAATAAAATAAAGTAGTAGCCGACAAAAAAAGTTCCGTGGAAATTTGCCATGTCACGTTTCATAAAACATTTAAAATAATCGACTTTATTTGAATATTTAAAATGAAAAGTACCGGGGGACCGAGCCGTGGCTCAGTATGTTTATTTCGATTGTAAAAGATGTATAAAGGAAACTCGTGTTTTCTTTATAACTAATTTCGGCTTTTATTGTTTAAGTTTCGGTGGAATTTTAATTTACTATGATGTAACTTTAAATGGACAATGCAACACATTAATTTATTTTAATCTTACACATTTCTGTTATTGTAAATAAATCATAGAAATTTTAAAAAATTAAAGTAGTATTTTTTTTAAATACTTCCCTAATGAAAGAATTAATATGCGATCACAGGTTAATACAGTAGCAATCAACTACACAACATTAAAACAGCACAGTGTATGTAAGGGGTGTGATTTATTTCTTGGTACTAAATTAAGTCATTCTTCAAGTATAAGTAAAACTTCAGCATGGGCATACTCTCTAACGTACTATCATATGATGGATTAGCTGAAGGCAGATAAGTCCGATTCAAGCTTATATTGCTTACTATAAAGATTGTTGTAATACAATTAACTTTAACTAGTGGTCGAAAACTAGACCAAAAATATGTAATGTACAGGTTTCAAATGATTTAGGCCTAAAACTTTTTTCCCCGTGTGAGTAACTAAGGACTTCTGGATAATTTAAATATGATATTTATATGTTTCTTACTCAGGAACAATGCCGTTCTGGGACACTATATAAATGGACGTTAACGTGATTATAAATTTGCATTTTACATAGTCAAAATACAATAGGTATTGCGCAACCGTGATATGTTAAGTCATTAACCTTGGTTTACTAATAAAAACTACACCGTATGCTTACTCAAACAAAACAAAACTTGCTTACTGTACAGCAATAAATCACGTAAAGAACAAAACAAAATGAAAATGTAGACTAGAAGACTACTGATACCGTAGTCATCCTAGGCTACTACTACATGATGTTTCAGAACAGAAGTACTGTATGGGGATAAAAATATTAAATAACTCATAAAACACCATAAAATCATAGTACTGTACTTAAGTCTTTCTGGTAATAATAACAATGATAAAAATAAGATAAAGATAAAAATGATGTAAAACACCTCTTATTATTTCTCTTTGTTCTATTCTTTCTTTGGTTTCTCTACATCCACAAGTTGTCATGGTTACTAATCACCCAACGACCCAACCACAAAATATTGTAGTGTTGTGACAGCAGACAGAAGCAGACGATTGTCAGTATGTCAGTGTCAGTGCAAGATTGTCAGTCTGTAGGTGCGAGCGTATAGGTTGACCTTGACGATACTGATCGATATTTCTCCGTTTTGCTTCCATCTTATTTTTGTTAAATGAACTGTAATATTTCAATAATTGGGAACCTACTGCACATAAAAATTACCGTAAATAGTTAAATATATCGTTCATATCGAAATATTAGACTGAAAAATACAGTTAATAAAACATTTTCTTGGGATTTGTGAGGTTATATAATATATAGGCATCATGATGATGCGACTCCAGTTAAGCGAGGTTCTACTGTATTTGCAAGTTAAAGTTACAAATAGAAAACCCATTATGGTTTATGATGTAAAACACCTCTTATTATTTCTCTTTGTTCTATTCTTTCTTTGGTTTCTCTACATCCACAAGTTGTCATGGTTACTAATCACCCAACGACCCAACCACAAAATATTGTAGTGTTGTGACAGCAGACAGAAGCAGACGATTGTCAGTATGTCAGTGTCAGTGCAAGATTGTCAGTCTGTAGGTGTGAGCGTATAGGTTGACCTTGACGATACTGATCGATATTTCTCCGTTTTGCTTCCATCTTATTTTTGTTAAATGAACTGTAATATTTCAATAATTGGGAACCTACTGCACATAAAAATTACCGTAAATAGTTAAATATATCGTTCATATCGAAATATTAGACTGAAAAATACAGTTAATAAAACATTTTCTTGGGATTTGTGAGGTTATATAATATATAGGCATCATGATGATGCGACTCCAGTTAAGCGAGGTTCTACTGTATTTGCAAGTTAAAGTTACAAATAGAAAACCCATTATGGTTTGTATTCAATGACCGATGTATTATACAAAATAAATTATAACTTATTTTGATATTAATCAGCAGCATTTATTACAGCTTGCAGCACTTATTGGTATATATAAATATCCCAGTTACTATTAGTAAAAAAAAAAATAAAACACAAAATTGTGTGGCCATTCAATTTTTATAAACACAGTGTTAAACATTTGACTCTGCAGAATACCGGATGGTAAAGAGTGTTTGGTTTCAAGAAAATAAAATAAAAAATAGTTTAACCTGCTTTACTATTTATTTTGAAAAATAATAGATAGGAAACCATAAGGATAGGTATGGGATTGAACTGAAATAATTGCAGGAAAACTTAAATCGTAAAGTCCACAATCTGTACATTGTTAGAGAGCGAGAGAGAGAGAGAGAGAGAGAGAGAGAGAGATTTGATAAGGAATCTGAAAAGTAAACAAATAATCGTTTCTGGCGTTCGTTATATTGTACCCCCCTCCCCCCCCCCCCCGTATTTGCACTCGTGACCACTTTTTGTTGCTTCCTTATCATTCATCCGTCCCAAAATATAATTCCTGTAATAGTTTGTTTGTAAAATTGAAATTATTATAAAAATATTTTATCTTTCGAGTGTAGTTTCATAGTTATTCTTATCAGATAGAATAATATCGTTGTCATATGTAATAGTTACTCCTTCGCGTTACGCAATTGCGTAAAAAACAGTTCCAGTATCTCGGACAAGATTCACGTATATTTCTCGAGATAAAGAAAATCCGTATAGTCCCCGGTCCGTGGAAACACTGTAAATACTAGGATAAAAAATATTGCATAAAGGAGAAGTTGACTAAAATTTCAACTGAAGGTAAAAAAATCAAAATAACTTAAAATATGAGATGATGAACGGGTAGGATCAAGATTCAACCAATTATAATTAATTAATATTCGACGATCCTTATTAGAGGTGCATCATATTTATTTGGAGTATGAACATGTTTAAACATTAACACGTAGTTAATCACGATCCCAACACAAATAGTAACAAGGAGTAAACGAAGGTTACAGACCGCTGGGTTTTACCGCTACAAAGTAGGGTAGGGTGCCGTACTGGCTACACTACTCAACGATAGAACACACGATGAGACAGTCTCCGCATTGGTATTGCAGTTACGCTTATCGACACAGGCAGCAGCACCGGTTTGCTGTTTTCATACGTATAAAGTGCACGGGAAGCCATACCTGACTGGCTTATGGGAGAGCTGACTGGCTTTCGGGCGGGTGACTGCCACACCGTGTAAATTACCAGCGCACTGACTGCCAAACCGGGTGGGCACAAAAGTATATATTTATATATATATATTTATATATGTGTCCGTTAGCGCGATAACTCGAGCAAAATTGATCCGATTTTGATTAAATTTGGTACAAACGTGTAAACCTACATTTATTCAAACGAGTTCGCGAACCAGCATAATCGGACCATGGGATCAGGGGTTTATGGGGGGTTTTATGGGGTAAAAAAGGGTTTTTCTCATTTTTGACCCTAAAAACTTTAAATTTCTAAATTTCTCTCTAGACCATTTTGAAGAGCTTAAAAAAACAAATAAGTTAGTATGTGGAAGTGTTTTTGAATGTTCATTGACTACGGAGAAAATTTAGAAAATTGTAAATTTAAAATTCCCATGTTATTCTTATGGAGAATAAATAAACTGTTCTAGTTTGCTTGTTTATGGATATATTTTAATCAAATTTGGCAATTTGGTTTATTTCATACTAAGCTATCAATATTTCAGTTGAAAAAACACACCTCAACATCTTCCCCGTAGCAGCAAACCTAACTACTCACTAAAATTAATGTTATTTAAATAGGAAATAAATCTGAACATTTATAGGGAATATTTTAGTAGAAATCAAGCCGGGTAAATGGAAATTCGCTTAGTATGCAGGTTTGCTGCGACGGGGGTATTTTAACATTTGATCAAGCTAACTATAACACAGTACACAGTAAACTAAAAACTCATTACCGGTACCTTAATTTTATTCTTCTGTATTCAACCATTGTGCATGATCAAATGTTCACAGGTTTTCCAAGACAACACCTCTGAGGTTTTGAAAAGTGCCGGTTTCTTAGAGTGTGAATTTTCCACAGTGTTAAAAATATTTGAACAGAATAAACTGGAACTGGATACAGAATTACAGCTTTTTCAAGGGCTCCAGGATTGGACAGAAGCAGAGGCTGCGAGACTTGGTAAACATTTCCACTACACCTTTCTTTTTAAATATAAAAGTATCTAGCCTATGTGAAATTTTAAATATTTTGTTGGGTATAAAACTATAGGCTAACATTAAGAGTAATTTCAATGTCTCAACTAACTTAACTGATCTAACTTAATCCCGCTAAAAAAGGTTCAAATAAGCGGGAAGGCCAAATAACACTTGAATTGACAAAAACCCATCTTATGTCAAAAGTAGATCTAAAGGTGGGAACTTTCGAATAAGATTTAGTACCTAATGTACTAACATTGTACTAGGTAGCCTGAGAGGGTGACTACAAATTTTCTGCTAATAACAAATTTGTATAGTTTGGCCAAAGTTCTAGTCACGAGGTATCCAAATGAGAGGGAGGCTATTTTGTACAGTGGCAGTTCTGGATCATATTCAAGAGAGGGGACTACCAAGGGGTTAAAAGATAGTAGAGAGTCCAAAAAATCTTTATTTCTAAAGCCGTTTGGTGACTTTCTACAGCCATTCTTAGTATTGAACTGTGTCCAAAAATCTCCCATTTCACTTGTTTATTGTTATGAGATAGTAGTTTGAGTTTAAAAAATCTTACTAATATTATAAATGTGAAAGTTTGTGTGTTTGTTTGTTTGTTTGTTTGTTTGTTTGAAGTTCAATCACGCATAAACCACTGGACGGATTGGGCTGAAATTTGGCATGATGATAGCTTACATTCCCGATTAACATATAGGCATATTCTTATCTCAAAAATCCTTTCGGGCTCCGCCCCAGTGGCTCTGTAATTCCCCATGTTAACCTTATGAGTATTCATATTTAAAGGGAATTAAAGAATTTAGTCAGCTGTTTCAACTAAAAAAGTTGGTTCTATGATATGGAAAAGCATTAAAAAGTTATAAGATTTACCAACAGGGTGCAGCACTATATTTTTTTTGCATTTATGAAAACAGCTAATTTGAACTAAGCAGCAACAAAAAACTGTGATTCGCAATGAGAACTGTCAAAGTAGGATTGTTTACAGTTATGTATATGTTTTTCATTTCATGAATAATTTGTGATATTTTGCGAATTGATAATTTATTTTTCTCTATTGTTTAGGTAAAATGGTAGAACATTATGGCTATGGTAGATGTGTAATACTATAGAATACTGTAAATTAAAAAAAAAACAAATTTTATCAAACTGTGTCCTCCACCCATTGCAATTGCAAAGCTTGAGTATAACTGCAATAAGCATTTTATACTTATATTCCAACCCCGTACGAAGGACGGGTACTCTGCTAGTTATACCATAAACTAACCAACACAAGTAGACTTCTCATCCCATTGTCAATTTGAAGCTCGATTTTTGTATCTAGATCATGTTGGTGACACTGGGCACTAGTGTCGACAACATTTTGTTTCTATTATTTTAGGATTAATTTCATAATTTTAACTTTACCGTTTGGTTATATAACTAGGGAACGAGTTATTGTTAATGGTTGGCTAATTTTACTTGGCTAAACAAAGTTTTAAATAGCAGAAATAGGAAGAAGCAAATTTCAAACAAAAAACACGATCCTAGCGGCACTGGACCAAACTAATTATAAAATTGTCTGATCCATAAGGATGACAAATCTACTAAAGGGAGTATGTTTAAATTTATTTTCTAGGGCTCAATAGGTTTTATCCCCTGTATCTCCTTGGAACTGCTACTGCTATTGTGTATCATAATGTATTGTTCCCACGAGAACAGTCGTTTCAGTACCACCCACTTCCTGCCGATGTAGTCCGATTAAACCAATGTGCTGATAATTGTTCGGTTAAAGAGATATCATTTCCGCCGAGTGTAGTCCGGTTAAACCGATGTCCAGTTAAAAGGTCTCAGGATAAGAGGGAGTCTACTGTACTGTTGACCAAGCTGTACTTATTCATTGGTCTTTTAATAAATGGCCTTAAAAAAAAACAGTGAACCTTATTCAGTAACAAAACTACAAAAAACACCTTACTCACCCTGTACTCATACTCCATTCATGTTTGTCTTTAAAAACCCCCTTAATTGTGTCCCCATAACATAGTAGAGATTATGTGTTAATACATTTTTTATCATCGCTTCACATGTTATTGTAGGAGTGTCCGTTGAATCCCTCGCCATGTCTGTTACTGAGGCTCTCTCCAAGATCATGTTCCTGATGATGACAGCTGAAGAGTTCACCAGTGGTCCGGCTCTCTCCCCTCTACTCACATCCGAGGAGAAACTCGCCATTGCCATGAACATCACCAAACCTGGCGTGATTGGGGTTGGTTTATTGTATGTTTTTAGCAACACTGTACTGTTACTTTGCTGCCCGTACCTTCATCATTCTTTCCCATTTTTTGTTCTGTTCAGAAGGCACTTTAAAATACTCAAAGAAAATAAAGTGAATATTTAAACAAAAATCATACCTTGTAAAAATAGGTGGTTTATTAAGTAATACATCTCCACCAAACAATATTAATCTGCTATGATATTTTTTGACCTGCTTGGATTGAATGTTTAGATTCCAGAGCGTATCAACAAGTCCACAGAGCCCCGTAGGCCACTGTCCCCCATGCTGCCCCCTACAGTACCCCCCATAGAGTGGAGTTTGGTCAGGGAAGTGTCAGACACCATTGTCTACCCTATCACTCGGTGGGTCAACCCCTTCCCTCGGAAAGGTCTCACTGTCTCTAGGAACATCAGGTTGAAAGGAGTCAAGGTTTGTATACTGCTATAAGTGTAGGGTATTTGTATTTGTCTGTGTGCCAGTGTCTTATCGTAACAAATTATTGTGTTTGGTTTTCTATCCTGTATCTTTGCCATTTTTTTGCTAATATTATAGAACAAGCTGTACCGCTATGTACCTGAACAGTTTTTGTTGTTAAATGATCAAACCTGAAGTAGTATATTCCCTCTGTTAGAAGTTAATTATAAAGGTTATATATGTAATTAGCCTATCACTTTATTTTAATGAAAACAAGAACTGTTTCTAATCGGCAATATCTCAACAGATTGCTTCCCAGAGGGTTTCGACCAGCGGAGAGTGCAGCCTAACCTACAAGGAGAACGTAACGATAGTTCTCAAGAAGGATTGGGCCGTAAAGTTCTCTGGAGCAAAGTACATGCTGGACACTCCGTACAACGACTCGTTCACTGTGCTGTTCACCAAACCTGTGCTGATAGAGGTAGGCAAAAAGTATTGGATCATCATACAGTTTGACAAGAACGGCGACTACCAATTCATGAGAGACGTCAACAGTGTTTACAATCTAAACAACATCAGGGTCGAACTTTACGAAGAATTCTCCCCAATTACGGAGTACTTGTTTTGTGATAAGCCCGAGGAGTAATCATATTTATTTACATAGGTACATTTATTTTTTTTAATAGTTGTACAGTCATGAATCCTATATTTTTACTGGTTAGTTGATTTTGATATTGATTTTGTGGATTAAGTGTCACTTGATTATTGCCGTCCAATTAATTTTGAGTGTAGACCTTTTATAACTTTGTTTGACTGTATGTGATTCAATTTGACTAAAATAGCTGGATACCTAAAATTGCCATATACAGGTATTTATAAAAACCGAAATTTCAGGCTTCAACTAATTTATTGAACTCTCTTGAGTGTCTGTTTTACGAGTAATTCTGTAAAAACACAAGAGTAAAACAATCTATTGTTTGAAAATCAAAATTAAATTGACATTAAGTTAAGTTAAAAACTATAATGTAAGGAAAAGCCAATTGTACTGAAAAATATGATTCCTTTCAACATTTATCTGGTGCTAAAAAACGGGCGGGGTTTGTAAGTAAGAATGGCTTTGTCGTATGGATCCGTAGTATGCTTGTACACCGCAACGAGTCTCGTCGCCACTTACTGGCATCATTTGTGAACAATATGATGCAATTTGCAGCTCTGTAGCTTTACTGTGTGTTCTTAAGGTTTTTTGGATTATCAAAATTCTCCCGCCGTGTCCAAGATAAGGTCAATGATACTTTTTTGACCACAAGAAACATATACGATGCTGAAATCCAACATCAGATGACTTAAGTTTATGACCCTAATGCAATGATAGGGATAAAATGTAGAAACAGGCTTGGGAGTTAAAAATGGCAGTGAAAATGTTCATTTCAGAAGGAATTGTGTTTTTGGCGGATACCTAGACTTCTCACAGAAGACGAGAAAGGAAAATGGGTATCTCGGCAATTTTTACACTCCATAACACATTTCCCTACTTTACCCTCACTCATTGCATTAGGGACAAAGACTTCAGTCATCTGGCAATGAATGTCGGCATCAGATATGTTTCTTGTGATCAAAAATCGTATCACTGATCTTATCTCGCACACGGCGGGAGATTCAATAAAAAGCTTTAAAACACACGGTGATGCATACAAGTCTGTTTCAGAGCTACAAATTGTGTCATTTTGTTCACAAATGATGCCAGTAAGTGGCGAGGAGCCTCGTTGTGACGTACAAGCAAACTATGGATTCATACGACAAAATGGCCGCTACTTAAAAAAACCGCTCTTTTTACTTCAAAAATTTGTCCACGCTACATTTTTTACTAAAATGATTTTTTTATAACTAAAACAGTTTTACAGCTCGTGACACCTAAGCTGGCACTTGGATAGCGTGGGCAGTGTAGGTGGGAGGAGGGTAGAGGTAGGAAAAAGACCGGACTGCAAACATTTCCGCTGCCTCAGGGGGTTGACTTCCCTTGTATTGTGTACTTGAGCGCCTTCATATGGGTAGCGAGGACAGTTGATGCAACCCGCATGACTGGACATAATGTTTTTGAATTAGGTACTAGTGGTGATCGGCCAAGTGCCAGCTTAGATGTCACGAGCTGTAATAGGAAACATAATCCATGTTTTGCACAATCTCCCCCAGCAGGGCTAAGATTGGTCATTGATTAATGATTATTGATAAGAGGGATTGTTTACGATACAATTTATGGCCTATTGACTAGAACAAAAGAATTAGACACCTGAAAAATGGTTAATTTATATGACTAGAATGAATGGTTGTATTTATAACACTGAAATAAATTTATTTTACATTACTGTCATTATAAATGGCTGATCCAGCCAGTTAGACAACAGATGAGTCTAGTCTACAGTTCCATCTGGACGCCAATGCCCATGTGCCCCCCTCGCTTACCCAAAAATTGACTTTTTAGACAACAGCAAATTTAAATGTAAGAATTTAGATTTTGTAAAAGATGCCATAAAATATATTAGGCCTATATATAAGGAAGATTTATGTATAACATACAATATACCAACCTGTTACTGTAATTAAGGCTGTGTAATATGATCTGGTTTACAACCTCTTTTTATTAGACTAGCTAGAGACACATTTAATTTAAATAAGTTTGTGTTTTGTCTAATTTTTAACTGATTGTTTAGTTAGATATCATATATGTACATTATTTATTCCATTGTAAGGAAATCAAATCAAAATAATTGCAAAAATAGAAAGTTTGTATATTTTTGTTGCTTATTACCTCAATAAATCAGTAGAGTTATATTTTAATCTATTATTTTCTAATTGTAAAAATTTAAAAAGAAGAGAAAGGTTTATTTGAAAAAAAAAAACATATATATCTGTAATATTTTTCTGTGTTTAGTATTTTTTTTAAAGTTACCTTTTGTATGTACAGAATGGACATTCCAACTATGTTAATAATTATTGGATTTTACCACTAAGACTAGAGTATACACAGCATAATGTTGGTAGGGTAAATGGTTACCTTATCCTTATAGTCTTGTTAATATTTAATTATGCTGAAAAGTTTATCCTACTGTTTGAACCTGGAGTTGTAACAATTTCACTTTACTTTTGTATCAAGAGTTGATTTAACCACTTAGCCAAGTTCCTCAACCTAAAAGACAAGTATAAGCTTCGATGGTGGTACCTACCCCAATGTTCAGTCCATTCAGTGTTTTCATTGGCTACTGTATTTTATGTCATAGGCTGAATTATACTTGTGACATAGTCAGATCACAGTGAATCTTAGATCAGTGGCGGATCCAGAGGGGGGGGGCGAAGGGGGTGACCGCCACCCCTCCTCGGGCATACATATATGTATTTTTTTATTGCATGTAATACAGTAGTGAATACACATTGTGTAAAATAATTTGTCACTCTAACTTTGGACAAAGAAATGGTATAAAACTGCCATTTTGGAGAACCCCCCAGACCCCCTGGTTCGTCCCCCCCTTGTGACTGCTCTAGATCCGCCACTGGTTTAAGTATAGACAAAAAGAATTAAATATAGGCTGTCAGCTGTGCTGCGGTTACCATGGTTACCATAGGTTCTGGCCCACACCGCTGGGAGCGCAGTGTAGTTATGTAGCAAGTACTCCATAACTACATGGCGCTCCCAGTGGTGTGCGCCAGAACCTATGGTAACTGCAGCACAGCTGACCGTCTATATTTAATTCTTTTTGTTTATGGTTTAAGCCCTTATCGTATTATTGTTATTTTAAGTAGAGAGTAATTGCATAGATAAAACACACTCCCTTGGTAGATTTCTTATCCTTATGGAACAGCTGAAGCCAATTTTTATTGTTAGTTCTGTATGTTGCACTGAAGAGGTTGTGTTTTGTTTACAATTTGTTTCTTGTTTCAGTAATTTAAAACCTTGTTTAGCCAAATAAAACTATCTAATCATAAACAATAACTGGTCTCCTGGTTATATAACCAAACAGTAAAGCACAAAAATTTACAATGGGAAAACAAGTGTACTTGTGTTGGTTAGTCTATGGTAATTGTTACACTAAATCTTGTACTGGTATTTTTATTTTGCTTATTGAGTATTTCAGATTTTTCAAACCTCATTAATAGACAATATATTTGTGAAAAATCAGACCAATTTTACCTCAATAGGCCTAATTGAATTTCATTAGTGTTCTGTAAATTAACAGCGGAATTCAGTAATGTTAAGTTTTTTGTAGTCAATGATTAGTTGTTATTTTTGGGGTTACATTCGACTTTCAAAGATTCAAGTGATGTGGCAAATACTCGTAGTTTACTTTGATTCTAAATTAAACTGAAATTTAACACTAGTTTAATATGGCTATTAAAGGATAGGCATGTGGCAAATATCTGGACATTGTTGATGATGTGCCATATACTGAACATTAGTGCAACATACTGGTACATTTAACTCATTTTGGAAATATTTAAATACAATAATAATAAGTTTTTCAAGTAGTTGACAGAATCTTTTATCCAATAAATTGCCGGTCCATGTAGGTCTCTGCATATACTTATCATGCTACTCAAGGGGAGAGCTAGTAAACTGAGCTGTACTGTTAAATTTTACATCACGGGACTCGCTTTTATAGCATCAAATCCCACCAGTTCTCACAATCCATACTTCTACGCAATGTAGAAAATCATTCCAAAAATGTAAGGTAAAAATTGTACCGTAAGTTCTATTAGGGACTTTTTAAAGTATAGAGACCTATATCATGGTGAGCCGGTGACTCTTTTGGTAGCTCAAAAATCCATAGAAACAAAGTTAAGGGTTTTGTCCTGGTTTCCTTGAATAATTGTTATCAGTACAGTTCACTCTTGTATTGTCCTACTGGCTCCCCTGTTTTGCTGCATATTATCCACTCACAGGCCTAAGGCCCATGTCGACAGGAAAATGCAAAGTTAAAAGCAGCCTCCACAAACTTCCTTTTCATCTGTCTGGATTTTATATAGATCAGAATTTTGAGACTACTGTATACAGTTTTAAGTACAACTAAATCTAGTCAGAAAACAGGTTAGCATAATTATTTATGTGAATGATTAAAAATGTTATATGTAATGCTTACTGTTTGAAATATTGAGAAATATATTTCTTTTTAAATTTGACATAGTCTTAATTTTTAAACCTGACCTAGTTGCTATGCATATAGCATGGGACTAATAAAAATAGTTACCACCCCTGGTATACTATTTTGGAATCATTTAGATTACAGAATTAATTTGCAGAGTTTCTATCAACCACACTCTTTTATCTCAACCACATTTTTTTCTTCTGTCCCTCCTCAGATCACTCCTCTCCTGGCTTTCCACAAAACACTCAATATTATTTTATAACCAATGATGTTTAGGGATTGAGTTCAAAACTTTGTCAAAAAGAAAGTATATATGTATTGTGTAACAAAAATTGTAATAAATAACGGTTATTGTAATCAAATATAACTACAATAGCTTAATTAGGTTTGTAACAATAAAAAAGGTTGAAATAACAAAAACGATTGGGTCAAAAAATCAAATTTAAAAGTTGGCCCTATATACAGACAAGAAAAATACTTATGATGTGTGTTGTATACCATCAAATGACACTAAGGTGTGGGATGCGCCTTTATTTAAGTATACAGTACAACAGAAATGCAAGGCGCTGCAAACTTTTGGGACATTAAACCAGCATATTAAATTCCCACAATATTAATTCCCATTCAGCCCCCCCCCCCTTCGCCAAAGATTACGCCTAAAGTTGTAGTGTCAATGGCCGTCCCATACCTTCTCAAAAATCCCCGTGTCCTGCTTTAAACCATAAATACCTAGCTGACTTCTTCAAGGAACCAGAACAGCTTTTGCTAACACTAACACTCCAATTAATTTTTTTGTATAAGATCTTATGGATTAAGACATTCTTGACAGATGATTTCAAGACATTGAAATAAATGTGAATGTACGAATAACATTAAATTTGTATTTCAATCTAAATCCAAGGTTGTAATTTCTTAATAATTAGCCTAGAGGACGCGATATCATATTTAGGAATAGCACATACCAATTGAATGTGTTGCTAGTTATGAAACAACAAAATAGTGGTTAATGTCTCAGACTTCGGTGCACGAGGCACGGGTTTAATTACCAGCATAATCACAAAAAAATTATTCTCTTATAAAACATCTTATAAAATAAAAAATAAAAATATTTGGGGGGGTCACGACCCCCTTGACCCCCCCTGGGACCGTCCTTGGCCCTAAATGACTATTTCGCAAACAAAACAAAAACAAGACAAGCCCATCCAGTCAATTTAACTCCAACTTCAATAGACATTTTACTCTTTTTTTGCAATGACAGGATGAAAGTAATGCATAAAGGAAATTCATTAGATAATTAAAACATTGAATAGCTTAAAACCTGTTAAAATCACTCATGAAAAATATCTAAACATAGCAATAGTTTAAAATTTAAACAAATAACTATGCAATTTTGAATAATTTCGTACAACACACAACAATTTAACACACAACAATAATTTCGCCACAACAAACAATAGTTCAAACTAATATTGTCATTTATTTTATCCTTTACGAGATAATACATTTATTTGTATGTATAACACTGTATGACATATACACATACACATGTAATCAAATCACAAATCGTCCTACAGTGATAACGCTGGTATTGTCCAAAACAATGGTTGATAACACGTGGACGACCTTGGCCGGTCTTGACCTACCCTGACCTACACTGAGCCCCGGATGACCTTGGACGACCTTCAGCCCAGCCACCCTGTAACCTACATCACATTCCCGGACCAAAACATTACTGATCTCGGAGAAAGTTTCAGAGTTAGGCACACGCTGGGCTGGAGAAAGGGTATTGGGTTGTTTTTCGTGTATAGTAAATTGCGTTTTTTGTGTGAAAGTAAATTTTTTGTTGAGTTTTAGTTAAGTAACCTTAACTTACTTGTTTGGTACCGGTACTAATGTTTTTCTCAACATAATAAAATTAACTTTTATTTGTCATCAAACGTCGAAAAAATTATTTGTATCCGTCAATGAAATAGAATTTAGTTACGGTAAAAACTTCCTTCATAAGTTAGGAATGCTCAACCACAAAACAATGCAATGATTAATTTGTAATGGACTTGTGATTCATTTGGATTTCAATCTCTCGTGATGGTTCATATCAGAAAAAGTCTTCAAAATATACACGAAACTATATTTCCCTGCTATCATAAACTGATGACATGCTCAGCTGTACTTTCCATGGAAGTGTTGATGGAGGCGACACACACATCTTTCTATATCTCACGTTGTTCAATAACATTTTGACTGTATATTTTAATGTTAATTAGCCTAATAGTAGAGTAGAGCGCAGGATTACTTTCCATCTACTGTACAAGCAAATCAGCCCGCAATTGGGTTAATGTCCAACACATCTCTCGATACAATAACGAATAAGCTTTAGCTTAGCTCAACCTATATTCGATAGTCATATACAGTATAATATGTCCTAATCTTATTACCGAAGTTTAATTATTTTAATTGTATAGCAACACAATTTTTGTGCCGGGATTAAAATAATTGTTTGGATCACAATTAAGTAAAGTACTTATTTCAAGTACTTATTTTATTCTGTAACTTTTTAACTAAACCTATTCTGCCGTTTATAAGGTCGTGAATAACGTTTATGTGAAGGTCCTAGGATAACGAT